TGTATCCAAATTCCTCAGAACTGAAAACCTAACAAGTCCAGGCCAGAGGTTCAAGCCATCTTCTGCATTTTCCGATTCCATGGCTATTAGGACTCTCAAATATAGAGCATTTTAGTGTTTTAACTTTTATGAATGAGCTCAGCAGACATATTTGTTGCCAATTGACAGGGGTGCACCCCTAACAAGTTTCTGTTATTTGATAAAACAGGGTAGGAAATAATTACGTTTGTTTTTATTCTACTTTACCCCATGTTTAATAGACTAAATGTTATAATGATGACAAATTGTAAAATTCACGGTGCTTCTGATATTGAGGGGTAAGACAGAAATATGGATCTGTCTCTTTAAATATTCAGATTCTCCACGGCATGATTGCAAGTCTGGAGAAAAAAATTCGCAACATGCAAGGATAAGAACTGTCTAGTACGTGTACAGTAAAATGTCGAGTTATGGGCAATTTTAAAAATTGGCCTAAACTTCTCAAGGTAATTGGCATTCTTACATTTTCATAACTTAGTCCATTTTGAAAAAGACCAAAATTACCATAGGAACTTCAACCCTCTGTTATGCAATGTCAATCAGATATGAAAACATTGAGTGGCCAATTCTAAATCTGTCCATAAATTACAACCCAGAAAACTGCAGACACCTTAACACCACACTGGAAAGTATCACTCAACCAGTGAACATTTTTTTTTCATACATTTTATATCAGCTTAACTACCATATTGTTTACACACAATATACATGTACGTGTCTGAAATGTAACGCATCAATGTCAACGATATTCAATTGTTCCTGCCTTTTTAAATCCTTCCACAGCACACTGCTGAAGACAACCTCCTCACATTCAAAATGGCACTCATATCAAGCCTCTATTACCTCACAACCTGCAGATTGTAAATACAGTGCTTGTACACATTTTTTTCTTATTTCTATTCTTGCAGTGCCATGAGAGCACCTGTTATTAGGTGGATGCGTGCACTTAATTCCTCATATTAATGGTCTAAAAAAGTTTATGGTTTATAGAACCACATAACTTTTGAACTTGACTAAGTTTCAAAGTTAAATGAGACATTACTGTACAGTTTTCGGAGTATCCTAATGTTACATAATCATTTAAACAAACTCTTTCACTCTTGTGCATTTGTGTTTCAGAATACAAATTTACTTTTCTCCTGAAAACAGAGCAACCTTGGTTTGAACATGCTCATATGAAACTGAAATACACTGTACATACAAAGAACATCCAAACCAAACGTTTGAAAACAAATCCCCTTTGTGCAGTGTTTTTACCTGGCCAACAGTCAACAGTTATATGACCTTTTTACACAGTGTTTTGACATTCCAGTTTAGTTGAGTGGTTGGGCAAGGGTTGGAAGATGGTATGTACTACCTTACACCCAAGGGAGTGATGTCTCAAACAGGTTTCCATTCAAATGCATGTGCAAATCTACACTTTGGGACCCTAACAAGAAAGATTTGTTTTTCTTCATTTTCCCCTTTTTTGTGGGGGTGCTTGCGGATTCAAGACTGCGAAGGGAACTGAATTTTTTGCTCTCAAAATCACTGGTCAAAAATCAACACTTTCATAGGAAGCATTTGGTCAAGCTAGGCCGGCCTTTTTTTTGTTTTCTTTTTCCCCCTGTATTCTTAAAGACTCAGATTAAATAGATCATCCCAGATGAGAACATGATCTGGTTGGCATCTTGCATGGCGTTAATTGCCGCATCAATCTCTCCGGGAGAAAACTTTTCGTCTGGGTTGTCTTTGGCCAGAGCCTTCTTCACTTGAGCCAAGGGGACCGACTCTGCCTGGGAAGTAAAAATCTTGGCAATGGTGGCGCGGAACTTTTTCAACCTGTTGATGAGAAAAGCATAACACTTTTACTTCATAAAATGTAGAAAATTAAATATACAGGGTTTTTTGTGGGATGTTCATGGGTTGTCAAACATCTTAATATCTTGCACAGAATATCCCAGATTGTGTCACACACCTTCAGGTCCTGCATCCAAGATATCCCAAGCTACAACAAAACCACCAGAAAGTCTGAGCTATAGCATATTCAGAGCACCTAAGTTTAAAAACCAGAACTTACTTATCCTGTGGCAATTCCACTTCCACTGGAGTAGCTGTTGAGGACTGCGTTCCCCCAGGAGACCTCAATGTTACTGAAACAAGATGCGAAATGTTCTCAAAATTCAGTCCAAATTGAAGACTGTCAATCCGCTCCGAGCAACAACAAAAGAGGGCGTATTTTGAAATGAAATTGACAGTCCTTTGGTACTCACGAACCGCATGGGTGCATAAGTTTATGCACGTTTGACGCAGAGCACGCTGAGTACTCGAAACAATTTTAGTCTAAAATGCAGGAGCACGTCAAATGTGTGCGAGAACCCAGTTGGAAAACTTAATACCGTCTGTCTTTCCTTCTCTGGTGAGGGTGCACTTCAGCTTAGGGCGGATAGAAGTAGTGAGTTAAAGTCTACTAGTTTGCTAAATACTGTCAACAGTCAAGAAAAGATCTGTCCTGTAATGGATCAACAACATTGGAAACTGGTCACATACTAAGTTCACTAAATGATAAAATATACCCAATTGGACCGATCAAGTAATTTTGGCTAATAACATAACTGTTGATATTTCTAATGAAGTTTGATTATTTAGCACCAAAGTCGGTGAGATGCTGTTTGTTGCCATGGTTACCTTCCGGGTCATCCTCATCTTCTTCGTAACTGTCAAAATCATACGGGTCAAAGCCTTCTTCGCCTTCCTTTGGACGATCCTTCTTCTGTTTCTTACTTGGGGACCTCTTCTTCTTTCTGTGTTAAACCCACAGTAGAAAAAATACAAATGTGATCAACTACCCAGAATTTGTCACAATTATCAGACCACGCTGAATGCTTAAAACAAATCTTTCATGACAAAAAGCAGCGGAACTATCACATTTTTTTAACCTACGTTTGCCTTCTCTGCTCTTGTTCTTCGTCCTCATCCTCCATCTCCTCGTCACTGTCACTCCGTCGCCTCTTCTTCTCCTTCTCCAGGACCTTCTTGAAGATGGCAAACTGGATCAGCTCAATGGCTGCTTCAGCATCTTGGAGGTCCACTGTCTTGCTGAGTCGAGCCTTGGCGTGGGCCGTGGCCAAACGGATTAGGGTTTCCAATGAGCGAGCAGTTACAGGCTGGGTCTGTCATTTGAGTATAAAAAAATAAGTCAATGACATGGACTTCTCCAGTTCGTGGACACCTCTACAGACGGGTACTTTTTAACTCTAGGTAGTTTGTCCTTAAGACACCTGCACAAAATTTTTCTCCATCCAGCTCACATGTATCTCTGAAGGAAGGTAAGAGATAGCTATGTCTGAGTCATTGACAAAGAATTTACATGTTTGCATGGGAGCTGGCGCTATATTAAGAAATCTGTAAAGACCCACGACTTGTAAGCACAAGATTTTTGAAAGACTACAGCAAATTTGAAAAACTTACTCTGGCTACATTGTTGGCAGTTTGTTCCTGACTGCGTAGCTTTGAGTATTCGTCAGCGATGCAATCTGCAGCTTCTCTAGTTAAGACAGGTTTGATCATCTTGGCGATGTGGATGTATTTGCGCATGAACTCCATGCTGACAAACTTTTCCCTGTTTCAATAGGCAAAATGAGACAAAGGGTCCACCAATCACATGGCACAATTCAGAAATAAGACTTAGAAAATACAATCCATGGGACAGAAGTCAGATTCATGTCACAAAGTTCGATAACAAACCAACCAAGCTGATCATAGCTGGCCACAGACCTTTAATAACACATGGCATTTGTGTAACCCACAGGAGAGTCACGGAATATTGGAATGATTTGAACAGCACAAAACAATTCATTTATGACTACACCAGTGGGGGCATCCTTTATACAAGTGACATACCCATGATTGTGAGAGAACAGTGGTAATGGTATGAGTATTCCTAACAATAAAAAGTAATGTTTTACACCAGACAGCTAAGAAGCTGGCAGAATTTTAAGATCAATATCACAGAGTTTCAAAGGAACCTGGAAACAATCCCTTTTTTACCTCTTTCTGTTGCCATGGAGAAGGTTGTCATGTTTATCATACACGGGTGTTTCCTCATCTGCCTTGTCATCCACGAGTGGGTCTTGAGTAGTCAGATAATCTACAGAGCTTCCGAGAGGCAGAGCTGTCAAGGAAAGAATTGAACAAAAAAAAATAACTGTAAAATCTCCACATTCCAGTTGAATCCTTATCGTTTTCACTGATACATATTGAAATTCCTTCGAGATAACAAGGGTCAGGCCGACCTTGTGCCCCTCCACTTCTGTGGTTACGTCTCTCTGCGTATTTTCAATGTGGTTGGCCTGATGCCAGATGTTGGCAAACTTACTGTTATCTCACCTTTTCTTTCTTTGAACTTTGAATTCAATCATTCGGTTAACTTACCATCTCCATCCTGTTCCCCGGGAGTCCGATAGCGGTGCATTCTCAGCACATGGTCAGAGATCTTACGATCATGATCTGGATCCATCTATGAAAAAAGTAAATATGGCTCACTTATGGGGACAAGAGGCACTTTGCTGATGTTCTTCGAAAACCTTTCACTACATTTACATGTACATGCACGTTATTTCCATCAATGGCAGTGGAGGTGTGATCTACTTCAGTAAGCCACCATTCAGAATGTTGAAGCTATTACTCAATTGAAGTGCAACAGACAAGAATAAAGAAAATAAAAGATCTGACAAAAGTTGTCTCTTTCAGTTAATTTGTTGCTTTTGGTTTTGTTATGTTTTGTTTTTGACATTTCTTTATCTTACTTTGATTTGAAATTCAGTTTGCTAAACTGATTTACAAAATTGAATAGGAAATCAGCAAAAATGTCCAGTTGAACCAGCTTTGCTACAATGAACGACGATTATGTGTCATAGAATAGAACAACGCTATCCTAAATTAAACATACTGCTAAAGGAATCCGAATGACTCAAAACAAAATTGAATGCCTCAATTCCAACTTTGAAACACAGTAAAAACTTGAATCGAAAAATGATTGTAATTCAAATGCACGAAACTTAAATTGGCTGCTCTTTTGCCAAACTTGATCGGGAAAAGCGTTAATAAAATTTTAACTCAAGTATGCAATTTGCTAACATTCTTACCGTATCCAAGACGATAAAGATGAGATCAAAACGTGAAAGCAGTGAGTCCTGGAGGCCAATGTTCTCCATTGGAGTTTTGTACTCATCATACTGTAAGGAATGGTCAAGAGCCAAAAGGAATTAGAGTCAAGGAATTAGGGAATTGGAAGTTCCAAAATAAGTGCATTCCATTTGGAACAGAATGCCAAAATGGTCTTAGAAACAAATTTTCTACAAAAAATTGGTCTTACTCTTCCGTAGACTGGATTAGCAGCTGCTAACACACTGCAGCGAGCGTTCAACTTGGCATGGATACCGGCTTTAGCAATGGTCACCCGCCCCTGTTCCATCACCTCGTGGATGGCTGTGCGATCCTGGTCACTCATCTGAACAGTAAAGAAAAATTCAACATCATTTGACACCGTTTACTTTTGTAAATACGACTTGCCAGATACATCCAGTTTTCCATGATTTTCATCTGCAATGTGTTTTGGAGAGTGCCTTCAGTCAGTTTTACTTTCTTCTCTGATTTCCAAACCCCATGCAATACAAGGTGATATCTCTGTCTTTCACAACTACAGTAGGAACTATCTTTTGGCTAACACCCAGTATTTACTCTAATATCTTAATTCTAACCTTGTCAAATTCATCAATGCATACTACGCCCCTGTCAGCGAGCACCATGGCACCCGCTTCCAGACGACGTTCACCGGTTTCCTGATCAGTGGTAACAGCGGCAGTCAGACCGACACCGGAGGAACCGCGGCCTGTAGTTGTAATGGCACGTGGTGCCGTATGCAGCACATACCTAGCAAAGAACCAAAAAAAAATGGAATTGTAACATTACATGGCACAAATTAAAAAAAAAAAGACTTCCAATCTCATGAATGTACATCTTGAAATTTTAAAATGGCATTAAAGTGGACACAGTGCATTTCAAATGTGAACATTTTCTGTCTTCCTTACACTATCGTCAACTATTCACTTGATCAAAAAATCAGGCTTCATTGATCCTTACTATCATCAACTATTCACTTGATCAAAAAATCAGGCTTCATTGATCCTTACTGAAAGTTGAAGTCAACAGTCAACAATGATAGCAGATTCCAATAATTTTCCTACAGGCACAAAACAATTGATGAAGGAGGACTGTGATTTATTTTCCTCTCTTTCATTTCCCCTTAAATCTACCATCTCTGTTTGGATGCATGTTTGGTAGATTTATAACAGTACAGCCCTCCCACAATTACTTTGCACGGAGGCTCAATGTCAAAAATTTCTGAGTGTAATGTTGAGTTTAGAGTAGCTAATGAAACTCACACAGAGCCCAGACAACCCCATATCTCCCAAAGTGCAATATGTGAGATCACATGTAAATCATATACATGTATACATGAAAGAAGTTTTCAGGGTTTTTTTTCCTCACCTTAGCATCTGTGACTTCGCAGTGGACGGATCACCTATAAGCAGGACATTAATGTCTCTGAAAAGCAATTTCAAGAGGGATTAGTTTTCAAGTAAAAAACCCAAAGCTGTAGTACCCATACCTGTACTCGTCGAGTACTATTCAGGTAGTAGACACCCACATGAAAATGTACCCATACTTGAGAGAACAATTTCCATGTACTTGTGTGAGTTCGTATTTGTACTCATGCAGGACTATTACTTGTAGTCATGGAAATTTACTCCACTACTGCCCAAACCCTGCGTTTTGAGGTAAAAAAGAGGTCTTTACAGGCAAAGATAAGACCGCGCCAAGAAGACTATTTTATTTACTGCTTTTGAATGATATTTGATACTGTAATAAATAAGTTCTCTGTTTTAACACATTTCCCATTGCAGTTTTGTTATTGCCATGTTCTGGTTGTCAGCTCAATCTAGTACTTTAATTACATTAATTATATCATTATTATTGATTGTAATCTCATTAATATCATTATGCATGTTCAAATTCAGTCGCTGGCTGTGAGTCCTCACCCTCTCAGCCTGGTTCCGTTCTCCAAGACCTTCTCCACGCCACCAAGCAGCATGCACAGTGTGGCTTTCTTAATGTACTCGTGGCCATGGATGGAGGGCGCCAGTGAGTGGGCCAGCATTTCAAATGGGTCCTGCTTCTTGTTCCGGCCGAACTTGCGGATCTTGCTGACATCCTCGGCTGAGAAGAGGGGCGAGATCTCCTTGCTGAGGAGTGCGATGTTGTTAGCTAGAATGACGGTCCTATTGAGGTACATGAAGAGAAAGTTGATGTAGATGTATATGTTATGTAGTGGTTAGTTACAGCATTTACACTGGTTACTGTCTACTTTTATTTTCACAAATCTTCCACACTGGAACAGGAACCAGATCAGTCTGTACCAAATGGATCTCTGAATTTATTTCCCCCACAAAAAGTACACCGGATGTATGACTCCACTAAAATAGAAAGGAAAACCTCTATGGAAAGTAAGCATTGCAATTAAGTGATAAAGTATACAAATAAGCATGAACAAAAATGAAACAGACGACGGTCACCAGGCTCAAACTCAAGTTCGTGTGTAAGGATGTAGGGAAACGACTTTGACACATAACCATACACTGCACTGCACTTTAAGTTTGTTATTTTAAAGTTTTTCAGGGACAAAAGGGCATGACTGGGCTAAATATAGTACACTGTAACCAGGGAGACAGAAGTTTTCGTGACCCCAAGTCATGAGTGACCAATAGCAAATTAGAGCATCGCGTGCGAGGCGTAGTTGTGTATAAAAAGAAGCCCGGATGTTTAGTTGTGTGCCTGGGTGAAGTCTTGAAGACAGAGAATGGAAAAATGTCAGTACTGGAGGAGTGAGTTAGCGGAGGCAGTACCAACTACTGCCTGAATGATAAGGGGAGATTGAACACATAACCCATTATAACTGACTGGAGTCCTAGGGATCACAGTGGCAGGTCATTGAAATAAACAGACTGATGCTTTGAGCTGTAACTGTGTGTGGCCTGTGAGTCGACTTTAAAGTGAAGTCTGATCATTCTTATTTTTCACCGGAAGGAGACCCAACTCGATTCATTCGAATTGACCATCGCAAGTCACTACAAGACAAACAGCATGCTTAACACTGAAGCAACACAACACCTCACTACCTGAGTAGAATCTGAAACCTTATGGTAATAGCCAGAGCTTAATGTCTAAATATAGAATTTTCAAATGTCGCTTCAGCTGCCTTGATAACAGGCGCTACATTCCCCAACCTACTAGTTCCTAAACCTAAACACACCCAGATCCTATAAAACCACATTGTAATTTGATGGGTTTTGTAGGATGAAGGTAGACAGAGCCAAAACATGATTACTTTACACAGGGCTTGATGCCCTTAAGTTCAACTGCAACAAAAGTGGCACAGTGGACAGTTTTAAAGGGATCATGAAGGTTTCAAATGAGATGCTTAGAAAGTTCCTGTTTAGAATGCTGGGGAAACTGTAATCTGACATCAAATTTTCATCAGTTGTCTCAATAAGTTACCTTGGTAACTAGGTATCTTTGGTAATCAACAATATTTTCCCTTTCAAGTGTTAAATTCTTGTTCCATACCTGAATGTCCCACTTGTGTAACTTCCTTTCTTGTTTGGCAGACACCGAAGTGTTCCGACAATTTGAACTCGGTCTCCGGGCTAGAATAAAATCAAAATTCATAACAGCAACAGTAAATTTGAAACTGTGAAGGAATCTGTTAATAAAAAAATGAACTACATTCTGAAACATTCCTGATGAAAGATCATTCCTAGAAAAGTTGGCCAGCTATTTAGGCTGTAACCAAAAGTTGTGGCTGTGGCTAGCCACTGGCTAGCAACTGCAGGTAATTCCCATAGACCTGCGCATTAGTCTAAGCCACAACCACTTGATCTGGACACAGCCTTGAGAAGGGAGCACCGGGGGGGGGTCTACCTTGCAGTTGTCCACCAGGTCATTGTCGGTGATGATGTCCACTGACCGGGGCAGCTGACCAGCCGGAGCCTTTTCGGGCATCTCCTGGATGGTTAGCGTCTGGTGGTCCTTGTACGTGGACAGGCCGTATTCGGTCTCCAGTGGATTGTCCTGGTCATCCTGCAAAGTTCATATGAAATACTGACACTTAATGGCCTACTCCATCAAACAAGTCCCGTGCCAAAACTGACCTTTTTGAATTAACTTCACGCGAATGGCATGCAACAAGCTTTCAAGGAGTGCAAAACTAGGCATTCTGTTGCACTGTTATGAAAGATCATTCCGTGCATTTGTCACAATGCTAGAAAAATCCTGTGACCTTTTGAATGCCATTAAACCTCCATGCAAATCCCTTAAAAACACAAAATATTCTTCCCAAAACCTTTTAATGCCTTCAATCAAATATCAAAAGTCAAAACAAAAACTACAATATATGCAAATCAATCAAAATACTGGGAAACATGTGGCATTGATGCCTGACCTTCGTTGGGTAGACTGAGCTGCTCGGGAATGCATCCAGGGAGGTCAGGTCGGTGTACTTCCGCTCCATTGTCTTCTTGGTCGCAGGGCAGTAATGGACACTGCGGACAACCTTTGGCCTAACCAGAGAGCCTGTCAAAATGACAATTCATTATGTGTGCTCCATCAAAATGCAGAAAGAATTCTTGACAGTTGCATATCCTGAATGAGTTCAAATTGCAATGCGTAGCTGGGCAGAAATATATCGCTTATTGAATCTACGTGCTGAGGTCCCCAGCCCCTTCCATTTTCATGCTTCCTGTTTCCAACCAGCTTGGGCCTGAAGTTTTAATGGGGAAACAGTTTGAAAACTGTGAAATTCGAAATAAGGCAAGAAAAATGGTGCACACAGTATGAATGTGGTGCAAAACGGTTCAACATACATTCTACCCTTTAAAGTATTGTTGTTTTGAAACAAATGGCACCTACTCTTTGCTGTTATTTTTAACCACTTGATGCATTGGTGCGTACACTGAATCAGTATGAAAAAAGTGCCAACAGAACTTGGCAGCAGATACCACCCACTTTTGATTGGGTAGTGTGCCTGATGGGTGCAATCAGTTAATCTGCGGGATCACGCAATTTTTGCATGATTTGTTGATTTCAGTGCCTCATTTGCCAATTATTCCGTCATTAGCCAATTGCCTTTTCTCTCCAATTTGTGATTCCGGAAGATTGCATTTATAAAGAGAAGTTAAGTCAGAGATTTCACACAGGATCAACTGAGCAAGAAAAGACCATGCCCAACATGCGATCAACACAATTCTATACAGCTTAGGAAAAACTGTAATTGTGTGTTATGTTTAAAACTTATCAGAGATTGTAAACTTGAGAAGTGTGATGGCTGGACAAGAAACTCTTGCCATTCCCATACTCACATCTTGTCACAATGCCTTCCACGCAAACGAGGTTCCCAATGTGACGCGCCGACAAGGAGCGGGGGGTGACATGTTTGGAGCCAAAACTGCCCTCAAAGCCCACAAAGAATTCCTCATGTTCCTTGCCGTACGCCGTGTCAGCCTGGGTCACAAACTCCTTAAGAGCTTGCTGACAGGCTATCACCTCCTCATGAGCGCTGGTTAAAAGCCTGTTCAAGAAATTCAGGTGATGCAAAAATTACCAAAAAAGCAAAGGTCCACTGCATAGCTCAGGTGGACACAAAAGTGAAGCAAATTTGATGACACAAAATAGTGTTAGGAATATCTGCTAGACTTAATTTGGTGATCAGTTGTGTTGATAGTGCAGTAGTTTCATAAGTGCTGGTTCATAACTGATGGAAAAGTGAATACAAATTTGAAATTCTGACGTCAAATTAGATATTTGCACTGTGACGTCACAAAACTTGAACCCTTGGAAGGTGTCCAAGGTTTGTGACGTCACACAAAACTGCTGTGCTATCAACACAACTGATCACCTCAATAAGCACTTAGGCTTACCTCTGAGCCCTCTCGGCTACCTTCTTGCGGAGATCATTGATGTTGATGATCAGGCGTTGCCGATTCTTGGTAATCATTTCTTTCACCTTTTCAGTATAAATTCCTTGATCAGCCTACAGAAAACAGACACATATTTACAATGCTAAATATCTAAGTAAGGAACTGATGAAAAGCTACTTAAACTCACATATTTACGCACAAAAGTGCAGTGAAGTGAACCTTTCTGTATATTTTAGGACAACATGAGTAAATTTATGTAAAATTATGCTGGAGCAGCTAAATGAATGCGTTACCCCCCAACTGTTGCACTGCAGTTGGACTGGCCAGACAACTCAGCTGTTTACCAACTCAACTTGGGATATCTCAACCATTGAGACGACTCAACTCATGGGACAACTCAACCATCTGTGCTTCAAACAGATAGACAAGTCCTCTGCTTCCATGCCAACGACTGCTTCCTGAGCAGCAGAATGTCCAGTGTACAACTAGATGTGGTCACAGATATCAAACGCTGCACTCAGAAAACAGTCGCCAGCATGCGTGTGCAGACACTGCATGCTTATTGTGAATGGTCTACTCAGCCAGCGCATCATGATGTGTCTGGGTATCTTAGCTTACAGTTTTGTTACACGAACAAGATGGACACTTTGAGTTTGGTCGACAAGAGTGTTTCCAATTTGAAGGGGAAATTTCTCTTTTCTTCCTGACATTCTGAATGCAAACAAACTTTACTACCATCCTTGGAATCTCCCATTCCGACTGAATCGTAAAGTGGGCACATTAGACAGTTTAACCCTAACATTCCTGAATCCTCCAATTTTAATATGATTTTGCACACACCCTAGGGAGTTAGGGTTGGACTGTTGTGGGGATGAATTCTGAGAATTTTGATTTGGGATGTACAACAAATGTATGAACTATTTTGAGTGAAATCAATTAATGGAAGGGAAGGCCTATGAATTTATGAAGGGTTCTTGGACTCTACAATTGCCCGACCATGACAAAACGTTAAAAAAGGTGATTCGCAGAGTCAAGGTTTGGCCTACTGGACTAGGCTACGCCTACTTTCTAATACAGTAAACTCTTGAGAACTCAAAGTTGGTTAACTCGAAACTCCACTTATCTCGAAGACATTCTTCATTCCCACCAAAAGAAAAGGCTGTTAGGCCTATGTACAAAAATACCTCTGTAACATGAAATGCCCACATCACTACAGTACATCCGCTTCGGCCTAATTCAAAGTTTCATTTCATTATTTCGCAGGTCAATACAATAAAAATGACAAAACAAACAAAAAAAGCGCCCTGAAAAGTTTTTTAAGAGCTGAACAAAAAGACTGCTGCCAAATTACTGGCATTGGGGCAATGAGTGGAGAAAGAATGCAGACTTTAATTATGAGTCATTTCTGCAAACTGCACTTCGACGTCTTTTTGCATGAGAAATTGGTGAGAAAAAGTCTCATTTTTTTAAAATACTTTGTCTCATGGTCTAAAACATGGTTACCCAGCTTTTATATGGATTTAGGTTTGCTGACGTATGACTGGGGAAAATTTGATTATGGAGGATGGATTCCTTCTTCCATGATTTGATTTAGGCCCTAGGCCTCATAGCTTTCTTACATCAGCATGATCAGTGAACCATTTCACCACAAAAATTTGAATCCAACCCCATACTAGCGTTACGCCGCCATGTAAACCACGTCTTCTCTAAGTCACACGGAGTATGACGGAGGAGTGACCTAGAGACTTCTCAAGTAGTACCAACCATGCCAACAAAGCCTGGCCTCTAAACATGCTAAAGCCTGAAGGTACGCCAGTGCACATGTACCTACATGTACATTGTACATGTACATATGTACAGTATGCAGTCGCACTGCAGTACCGACCAACTCGACCGAGTCATTTTCACTTACACTATCATCCAGAAACTCCAAATACTCCCTCTGATAACCCCTCACTTGCTGGTCAATATCTGAATCCATCTTGAATATTTTTCACGGTAACAAATTTCACCGTAACACGACGAAAATTATTTCAGATTCTGCCGTACAGAGACTTCACTGTCGTTTGCAGTAAGTAGTCCGACTCTCAAATTCGCGCGAAATGAGCACGTGAATAACCATCGTGGTCTCCTTTGCAGTCCCCACTGAATTTTTCCCAATCTGTTGACGTTCTTACCTCGCAGTCCGTCAGAAAAACAAGCTGGAATCAAAGGCTACCTTTCCCGGGATATTTAACTGTTGAAGCTCCGCCTATTTAAATATACCCGTGGTAACTGTTTATATTCTAAATATTATGCAAATATTAACTATGAACCAATCAAAGGTCGTTAGAGGCGAGACAGCGCGCCGGTCGCGCCATGACCTGTCATTAGTGTACACATAAAAGTACATGTACATGTACGGTACGTGTACAATGTACATTTCCTAGTGGAGTGTTTTTTTCGGTTACTTCCGGGTACATTTTCCTGCTCATAGCCTGCATGCGCTTCAGTACTGTGGCCCAGACAATCAAGTAGCAGTTACGACATAATCGTACGTTTCAACGAGTGCCTCAGAAATATGACATCGCTTCCTGGTTTCGGCAATTGAACATATTTCAACAAGAGTATTGTCTGAAGTTTGTTGAATCTTGAACATCCTAAACCAGCCCTAATCAGGCAAACGTGGTCATCGGTAACTACAGAATGCATGGAATGCCATGACATCGATCACCTCAAAACTCCTAAATTACTGAACAGAATATGAGGACTTACGCGGTCATGTGTCGGTGCAGAACGATGGCGATTCCATCGATAGCCATGATTTTTAGATGCTTGTATATTCTGACCGTGATATTGCAGACTGCACCAGCAAAGGTAGGGACAATGCCGTTGATGGTATCAGGATAAGCACTAAGTCATTATTTTTATAACTTATATTACGCCTGTAATAATAGAAGAAAGTGGTTGTTTTCACCCCAAAAGTCCGTACATCGCATTATGTGTACAAATAAGCCGATGAACAGGGCCAGGGTGTTGTTAATTTTGATTGTGGATGGTAAACTGCTTAGGAATTTCTTACTTCACATGATGTTGGTCATTTTTTGTCGGTCTTACATTATCTGGTTATGGGCATTTGTTACCATTCAGAAGTTGTAAGCACGCATGTATTTTTGTTCAGTTTGGAGATAATTAAGACATGGTGGAAGGAAAACTTTGGGGAAGAGTTTCATTATATGGACGTCACTAATTTTCCCTAAAGTGGCTTATCAGCCACCTGGAAGTGAAAACATGTCCTAAAAAGTCAAATAAATTTAGCAGGGAAAATATTCGAAATATTTACTTAAAAAATACTTGGATATTTTTAGACCAGTCTTACAGAGTTTGTGCACAGGTAATCAAGTGATATCCGTGTATGGAACTGTTTCCAAACTTTACAATAGCAACAAGTATTCCAGGCATCAATTGGTTAGAATTGTCTTGGAAGTTTGACAACTGGACAAAATTCAATGGGATATATTTGAATAGTTTTAAAAAGTAGAAATTTTAAATGTTTTGTGTCCATGCTTTTGATTTTTTTCAGGTGTTTTCAAGAATCAAGTACTTTAGTTTGCAGTATTACGAACTTTTGAATAGTTCATAAAATATATTTCCATCATCTAATTAGCAACTTTAGTCACTGCATTTTAATATTCGTAGTGGCTGCAGAATTCATTAGTTACAACACTGTACATCAAGCATTACCAATAACCATTACCAATTTTTTGTAATTGTTCTTCATTCTTCAATCAGATCCTTTTTTTATTTGCTATAGAATGTTTTCCCATTTCATGTTTTTCCTTTTCCCCAATTTTGGTTAATTGATTTGTTTAATGGACATTAATTAATTAGAGGCCAAGATCCATTCCTTACTGACTTGTCTGGTTCCTGTTTCCAATGCTGCAACCAGTCCAAGGTGCCATAACTATAGCCACAGTGTTAAGTGAAGCACTTAACTGGCACTTAAGCTACTTCCCTATATTATCTCCATTTCTTCCTCAATTACAGGGTTATGAAGATTGTGACATTTTTCATATGACGTGTTCGTCATCCACACCAAGCAACACTCCAGTGGTCTCCACAACGCTAGAGACCACTGCCCCGACTCTCAACAGCAGCACAGCTGTAACACCAACAAATGCCACTGTCAGTGCGACTGAGGTGGGCAGTACGCTGCTGTCCACAACTGCTTCCCCATCCATTTGCTGCGGCTGCAGCGAATCTTGTGAGAAATGCTTCAGTCCTGGAGAAGGATATTGCACAGAATGCAGTCCCGGTTACATCGTGGAGCCCGAAGACGGGCAAAAAATGTGTTTGCCGTGCAGCCTCAAATGCTATTATGTCTGCCAAGACACCAACAACAAATGTGCTTGCATAGGTGAAAAGAAGGAATGTATGAACTGCCGCATGAATGATAGTAAACATGGAAGGTGTAGGGAAACAACCTTTCTAGACAAAATTGACAGGGGAGGTTTGGTTGGCATATGTGTAGGGGGAGTTCTGGTGATCATCCTTGTATTTGTTGTTTCCTGTTGTGTCTTTCGTAAATTGAAGAAACCGCCACAGCCAGTGGTAAGTATCTTTCTAAGTCCTTGTTGATTAATTCAAAGTGGAAATTATAAAGACATTTAGAGTGAATTATAAAGACATTTAGAGTGAATTGTAAAGATATTTAGGGTGATTTTTAAAAATTAGCTACCATTGTATTGATTTCAAATACATGTAATTAGAGAACAAACAGGCCAAGACTCCAAGTGCCCAAAAGTATATTTGGAAAGGAATTTAGGCCAATTGAGACAGAGAAGCTTGATTTGGTAGTTCAGAAATTTACCGAAGCAAATTTGAGCTCAAAGATCTATTTGAGAATGAGTTTTGCTTAAATCTGTTTGCTCAACAACTGAACTCTATTCCAATTTTAATAATTTTATGGAATTTTTTAGTGTAGCATTGGCGATTCTTTTCTTAACCATTTTTTTTCTGTAGGAAAGAGACTATAGAACTCATGGAGGATCTTTGCAGGTAAAATAACCCTATACAAATGTGTAATTTGCAAGTCCGTTGAATTTTTTGTCCAACCGATTGCTCGAAATCTGGCTGAATTTTCTGGAATGTATCTGTTGGGCATGTACGGTCGATCATTGCAATTACGCAAGCACGTCTCGCTGTCGGCGAATCCAGCATGAAATCTCCCTCATCACTTCCCTTTTTGAAACTGTCTTCCACAACCTTGAATGACATGTAGAAAGAAAAGGTTATCATATGAAGGTGAAATTAGAAACAGATTGTACAGCAGCATCAAGATCGCAGTGAATAGCAGTGATAGACCAATTGCACCCAACATATCTTTTTTCCTCTTCATGCGTGTGAGTTTCTTCAAGAGGCTGATTTTCCTTCATTGTGACTGCTTTTGAACACCACTGATCTTTTGTTTCTGCCTTGAAATGCTGCTGTGGCCGCTACTATGAACGATTATTATTCCTTCTGTTGCTGCCTTGTTGCTACAAACGCAGGGGTCACAAGTATTATCCAATCACAGCATCTTGTGAAATGTCACGATATCCCAAACCTTGGACAAACAAAGGATATATCAGTAAGGTCTCTGCGTTAAATGTGGTATGGTAACACATGTCAAACATGTCACACGGTTGGAAAATGTGTACAAAACATATGGCAGGTCTTCCGAAAAAGTATGAACAAAAGAGTAACCATAGGGAGTCTACAATTGAAGGCGTTTACACACTTGTGTGTGTTTGTGGATGTTGGTGTCTTCTGGCGTATGTATTTTGTTGGCCCTCAGTTTTTTTGTAGGCTGCTGAACTATCATAGACTTCATGATCAGGAACGGTACGTACTGGGCCAATAATGTAAACCAACTGTGGCTGTTTGTGGCCACTGTTTCTAAGCCATGTCTGTCGTTCTTGTTGCCATTGCTTCTGTTGTTGCTGCTTTTCCACAAGTTTGAGCCAAGACTTTGGTTCATTTATCAGTCGATTCTGAGCACTGCAGTCTCATTTCAAAGTCCTAGTTGTTTTTGCGCAGATACAATGCAGTGTTGTAACAAGTCACTATAGAATTTGATAACTCGAGTTGAGTCATTTTAACGTTGTGACTCGAGTTGAGTCATTAAGTTAAGAAGTGGAGTCAAGTCACTTTGTGTAGTTGAGTCGAGTTGAGTCAAGTCCTGGGCTTAAATCAATGAGTCACAAATTTTTGAACAAAATACAATAAAAACATAATTACATGTACATGTAAGTCATACTTTAGTAATTGATTTTCATTTAGACATACTGAAAATAAACTAGGGTGACAGGTTTAATTTTTTTGAGACTCGAGTATTGTATGCTTGTACTCGAGTCGAGTCTCCATGAAGGACTCAAGTCAAGTCATTTGATCACAGAGACTTGAATTGAGTCCCCAAAAATTGTGACTCGAGTTGGATTCAAGTCGAGTCATTGACACGAATCATTACAACTCTGTTACACTGACACAAGTTTATATTTGGTTGTCAGTTGCAACTCTTGCCACATGCAGGGTCACTGTTACTGGTACAGTACATTGGTTTCCTCTGTTGCATTTTCCAAAGAAGGCTTGGAACCAGCCATGCAACTGTACCTTGTACCTTATTAGCCTCGGATTATTCCAACTTGTCCATCATTTCAGTAACATTTCATTACATACAGATGTATGTGTATGGTTCACTACATACATGCACATGTCATTCAAACTTACAGGTTACTTTTGATGCATCTTGTCATGGTACTGTCTTTACCATCCATTTTGTGCTGTGCTGTTTCCATTTTGTGTCCAACTTTGTTTTTTCAATGTGGCTCTTCAATGTTTTCTGAAATACTGTGCCTTGATTACTGTGCAGTGCTTCCTTTCACAATCCGAACTATCATCATTTTTAACATATATTTTCCTTTTTTTTGGCTAATAACCCTTTCAAAGAAATTTGTTAATTTGGCTCTGATCTTTCTAGCTGGACTCACATCAACATTTTTCCGACTTCAGTTCTGACGGTGAACCTATGGCTTTTGAGAACCAGGTAAAAACCAAAAAGGAGTGTTGATACCTGTTCCACCGGCATAACCCTACCCATTTTATTGTTTCCCAATTATTTGGAAGTTGAATGTGAGATTCATTTTTTCATAGCCCCTCTAGTGAAATAACAAGTTTTGCTTCATGTTTTATGTCTTTTATTTCAAGCAATTTACATTAATTTTAGCAAGCATAAGTTTAGTAATTGGTTATCCTAGAGTATTCCTTTTTTTTATTTGCATGCAGCGACAACATTCTGTGTCAGATAAAACAATCAATCTTTTGTCACCTCATTAGTAAAATCTTATCCCATTCATCACTTCAGCTTCCTCTGAAGTTCACTTGCACCGTTAATTGAATGCTGTTTTTTATTGCTTTATACATTCATGTTGTGAAAACATCCACTCAGAGTGGGCAGTGACTCAATCTTAATCTCAAAAAGTGCTCCTTTCAAGTGAAAAAGTGACATCTTAGCTTCAGTCCCTGCATTTTGAAATGTTTTGCAAGGGTTTGAGAAGCCAGTTTTTTCATTTTTTGTGGGAGTGCCCAAAGTAATTTCGAATTAACTGTAAATAAACTTGGAAAATGATAATTTAAAAGAGTTGGCAACAAATTTACAAATGTCTCATTAATGGTCTGAGAAAGAAGCCAATTCAAACTGGTGTTCACAGATCCTTTCAATGAAGTTCCTTATATTGCATAACAAATTGGTGCAATTTTGCCATCTTCACCCACCGCAGGCTGTCGACGATGACGTGTACGGCAATGTGGATAATAGGGGCAATATGTTAATGTTGAACATGCCGGATGAAAGACAGCTTAAGCAGCCAGACCTTGTCCGTAGTCCTAGCAGGCCAGCACCACTCCCGCCAGGCAAGGTTTCATCAGCGCCGGACTTTGGCAATGTCTACGCGAACACTGTCATCAGCCCGAGGGGCGAAACCACACCCATGTCAAACTTTCAACCCACGGTGCAAGCATTTGGGGCAGGGACTGAGCAGAGCGACTTTGGGGGGCTTTATACAAACACAGAGATTCCATCGAGTGAAGCTGGTGATTCAAACACTAAGTTTCTTCCTAAAAAGAAACCTCCCATGGAGCTGACAATCCCACCCCTGCCCCAGAAAGTCTTGCAAGATCGTTCACCGGCTCGCCCTTGCCTACCCAAAGTGCCTCAGGACTATTCCACTTCTCCGGAGATAAGTCAGGATAACCAGCCAGCTGCCCCGGTCATCCTACCACAACTCCCAGAAAGAAAATTTGAGCGCAGTGACTCACAGGACTTTCCAGAGCGCCCCCCACCCCCACCTCCCTCAAAAATGAGCCTGCTGGGACGCAATGTGATGCCACAGCAAACGGCTCCCCCAGTGCAAAGCAAGAAATTCTCAAGTCTTCATGATGCCGCCCTCCACTCCAGAAATGAGGCTTCAGAGAAATTCTCAGACTTATCACCACAGCCTCCTCTGGTGCCTTCCCCTGCCCACAAAGTAAAATCTGGCCCTACAACGAAAAAAAAGCCACCAACCCCAACCAAGAAGAAGGAAATTGGTAAGTTTAACTAGTTTAAAGAGGTTTTCTGCTTAAGTTACATGTTCCTTTTCTGAAGGTCAGTTGCAAATTATGTCATTGTGAATTTGAGACAAAACTTTCACAAGGAAAATGACGAGAGTGGACATATGTCATCAAGTCAGCAAATTCACCTTGGGAAGCGAACTAATACGATACTTACATTTCAGATTTTGAAACTTAAGAAGCTGTAATGGTTTCAACCGCCTCCCTGGTTGCACCATTCCAGTCACCATCACATTTCCAACCCTCCCTTCCCCCCAAAAAGATTCCCATATCCAGTAGCTTAAGTATGTAATTGTAAATCAACTTGTAACGTTAAAAGCAGAGAACAGATGTGAGTTAGCCTCAGTTAATTCAGGAAAAACTAAAGCTTCAAAAATGTGTGTCATGTTGCGAAAGATACATGTACATTTTACATGCAACTGTTGTTTATTCATTCATTCATATTTGGAACTTTTTCTTTAAAATTACAGTCAGGCTACATGTACATGTATTACAAGTGTACGTGTAGTAAGAGCTGGGCTTTGCAAGGGCTGTGGGCAATAGGTGCTTGCTCACAACAGGGAAAACAGAGACAATTTAAAAAGCTATAGAAATGTTTCATGGCATCAAGTCTTGATCTAGATTTGGCTACTAGGCCAGTGTCAAGTCTAGCCACAGGGCTGTTGAAGCACACTGTGACAAAGGTGATCCTTAAGTGAGTTTGAAGTGTTCATCCGCTGTGCCCGAACTTAATGGAATTTGACTCAAGATTTGACATGTAACTAGGAATTTGACTTGGGATGGGATTTGTCACTTGTTCTGTAATTTGACTCAAGATTGGAGTTATTTGATTTGTGATTTGACTTGTGACTTGTCTAGTGATGTGACATGGGATGTGACTTGTGATTTTACCTGTAATTATCTGGACCAGTGATTTGACTTATGACGGATTGAAATGCAGCACTGGTTATAAACAGCTCTCACAGCTTGGAAATGAGCTGATATAAACCCAGTGGGCAGTACATGTACTTCAACAGATCCGCTAATAAAAGAGGAAGGAAACCGGATGAAAATGACGTCAGGGTCACACAGTTGAGCAACTCAATCATTTTACACTAAATTTTTACATATTTCATTCCTGCTGTATATAAAAGTACACCTTATTACGTGTATTTGGTACATTCAGTTTCAACAAGATCATGGAAGATCATGAGATGCAATGGAAGATGTACTCATGTTGACTGCTTAACAGAGTTGTCTGCTGTCAAAAGGGTCTGTCCTGAGGTTTCCTTTAATCCCTTTGTCCAATTAGAATGGATACTGTGGGATTCTCCCTTTAAACAATCCGAGATGAGTTAGCTGAGGAAACAGGAAATACAAAAAAAAAGATTAAAGCCAGAGGTTAATTTCTAGAACAGTGCAAATGAAGTTGTCAGATATAGGCCTAACTGGCACATGTGTATATTCTGTGGAATGTGCAAATTTTCCAAAAAGCACATATAGGTACCATATGCACATGTGAGTAGGCCTGCAGAAATGATTTGATGAATTTCCAGTATTTTCCCCTGAAGTTTCAGATCATTGCATGTTTATTGAGGGAAGGGCATGTTGGGGACTGTATGGTCTGAATCGTGGCACAACTGTTCACACTTTTTTGTGTATAAAGTGATCATAATTCCACATTTCTAAATAGACTGTTGACGTCTTTAGGATATTGTCGTTACATGTCGTGACCACGGGACACCGCCCCACACAATGAGTCCCCATACAGCGACACTCCCCACAGATACAAACAAATGAGCTCCATGTACCTGTATGTAACTACATCGGGTGTACATTTATCCCATGCACACATTTTACGAGCACACAGCATCATCACATTTTGTGACGGTGTCCACTGTGAACAGTTATTTCCCTGCATGTGGATTCCAAATTGACATTGTTATACATCTTTCAAGGCTGATTATAGAGGTGTGTGCTATGTTTACAGGGTACATGTGAATGACCTACTCTACAGATCATGACAGGTGGTAAAAGTTTGGGATTTATAAACAAGGTCACTGTCACAAATTGTGCCCCAACCTCATGGAATTATATAATGCACATGCCCGCAACTGCTTTTGTCATGTTGTCAAAATCACCGTCCAGCCCCACCAAAGAGGAAAAAGACTCCATGCGTCTTCGTTCGTTTTGAACAGTTGAAATGCCACCTGTCTGCCTCCTCCCCCCCCATTTCCCTGGCATCCAACCTCTGACAGGAATTTCTGCCGAAAGATCAAGCCAGGATCGAATTTCCTGTGGTCCTTGCATTTCCGTTTATTGAAAGTTTCACATTCAGCTTTTGATGGTTGAAGCAAGTACTCAATATGAATGGTGCCTCAAACTTTTGTTCATTGGAGATGCATCCATGTGTATCGATGTCAACGTGCCTTTTCCAGTTGCAGTGTTAAAAGTTGAAGTTTTCAAGCATATTACATTGGTAATTTTACACACACAAAAATGTTCAAGTCATGTGATTTAATATTACTTAGAATACTTAATTTTAAAAAAAATTAAACTGTAGCAGACTAGGGCGTAATGTATTTGATAAAGTGGTAGCTAATATAAACACTCATATCAGAATGTGGGCATAATTGTTTCTCTTGGTTTGCAATATGTTCTTTGTCTTTGACAAGTGTAATAAATTTTGTGTGGCTTTTTGTGTTTACATAATAAGTACAGCCCATGCCAACCTTCTTGTGTCATCTTTTCCTGTTTGGAGAACAGTTAAAAAATTGTTAGTTTCAGTTTTCAAAGAATGGAGGATGCCATTCTTATCTTCCTGTTTCATCGTGTGAAAGAACAAGGGGTAAAGATATTCATATGTGCATGACGTGTATGTTCATGAAACAAGTGTGACACTTTGTGAAAATTTAGAGGTTTGCATTGAAATGAGATACATGTATGCCCCTTCTTGCTGTAACTGAGTTTACGTGTATATTAGGGTTTTCTGGCGACAGACTACCTGTACCTCTTAAAACTTAAAACTCAGTGTTTTAGTCTAATGTTAAAGAGATTGTCATGTAATTATCTAGCCATCATTTACATGTAGATATGTTCAGAGTATGGTTTGATGTCTGTAGAAAATCTGATGAAGGTCTTGGATTGTCATAAGTGCTCTGGAAATTGATATAGAGATACATGTACATGTATCAGTCTGAAGACTGGAGACTGTTGGAAAATGGTCAGAAGATTATATCAGGTTATCTGAAGATCTGATCTGAAGACCATCTCAAGATGGTAATGATCTGCAGACTGTCAGGAGTTTGGGTACATGAAGTCTGTGAAGATGAAGATGTTGTGGTATTGAGTTATGTTTAAAGGTGGTCCAAGGATAGTTAGAGGTGATCTGGAAAACTATATGAGACGGTCTGAAGATGATCATAAGACAGTGGTCTGGAAAATGATGCAAAGATTAATAAGTCAGTTAAGAAATCTGACTGAGCCCGAGCTGAGACATTTCTATAAATCATCACTAGTTCAGTGTAGGCACATACCGGTAGGCCTGCTGTACTAACAGTTTATGCCTAGGCCTAATTTTCTGTACTAGTCATTGCTATCATGAAACTTCATAAATTGCTCACAGAAAATGAAAGGAGGCTCCTTGATTCTAGAAGGAACTTGAATGTCTTTTTCTGGAGATCAATGTGTGATTCATCTCTCAAGCCAAGTTTCTGTTCCAGTACTGTTCACTGCAATATGTTTGACAATTGGCTCTGAAGAACTCTGCCTGGTTTCAAGAATGTGGTTGCCAGAGTGCTTATTCCTTGAACTTCAAATTTTCATGTGGGTATTTCTTATTGTGGCATGGCTTGCAACAAAGAATGTGTGAAATGCAAAAAAAGTCCAAATACCCAGTGTACATTTATGTACATGTACTTGCCATTAAAATGGGGAATATTTTGCTGTCAGGATGTTCCAAAATAAACCTGTTGAGTAGTGATGTTCAGTTGTTTACCATCATTCATAAATGTCCTTATTTGGTTATGAAATCTTTCCGGGCAATCTCAATGGATATTTGGTGTTAAGTTGGTTGACGGTGGGCTTGCAATGCTGTGTTTTGTTGGGTTTTCACTCATGTGCATATTCAGTGAGGTATCACAGAAGGAAAAGTTCAAACTCATGGCCGGAAATCTTTCAGCAGCTAGGCAAATGTGTGGGTTGTAAATTGTAAAGAGAAACTATTCATCAAACCATGCAATGCCTTTAGGTTGAAAAATCTTATTGTATGCAGCATTGAATGGTAAAGATTAGGAGGCACAAAAGTGCTGTTCATCATAGTAAGCCTACATGAATAATGTCTTCAGATTCTGCCCGAAGGTGACATCTTCAGCCTTATACCAAATGATCAGAGTAAGTGGTATGCATTTACAGGTGACGACAAATGATGTACGTGTATCCTTTTGGAGTAAGCCAGACATGTACATGTACCTGTAAAAGAAACCTTCCCAAACAAAGGCAGGACTCAAATTGTTAATTGTTTCTTTACTCTCAATATTATCAACAGGTAAACATTCCGTCTACAGGTTACATGGTTTTATGTTAATTTCCCAACAAGAACCTGTTAATACTTGTATCCTCATTGTCTGAGAAAATACTAGTGACTGAGTTTTTAATTTGTTATGGGTAAGCAGTCCCCTGCTTTGGAACCAGTTCCTGAGTCTATAGATACCAATGGTCAGGTATTCAGGAACCTGATTCAGATGCTTGCCTGTACATGTATCTTTATAATAAACTAAGCACATCCAGCAAAACTGTGTGCCACATTGTCACAACAGTGCCACTCTAAAAAGATTGAACCAAAAAAAAATGGTTTTCAACACGGAATTTTGGAGAATTTTTGCTCTTTTTTGGTTTTCAGATTTGAAAGAATTTTTTTCACTCTTTTTTTCAGTTTTAAGATTTTTATTTTGTGCCTTTGTTTATTGTTTCCTTTTATTCTGTTGCTGGGAGAAAAAGGATGATTGAGTGTTGGGGATCAATTAATGTAGATGTACACATACATGGACCTACAATTTGTACACCAGATTACAGTGCAACTTTTCTTGGAGGGCAGTTTTTGGGTAGAGTTAAATACATTGTAAACCAAATGCAAAGTTTCACAAGTTCGCAGTGTTACATGTACCTACAGTCACCATGCACTCCGCGATGGCTGACATGCACATGCTCCACCAGGCGTACTTTGCCTTTAAGCTATGCTGGATATTGGGGCTTCTGATAACTTTTGACACCCGCTGAGTTCAGTTGTCCACATCACAAAAGCCACCAGACAATGCAATTGGGTGATTTTGGAGAAGGAAGTACATGGAAACACACTGGCCCAAACATCCAGGGGAATTCCCTTTTTCTGTCAGCAGTGGCATTGTGTCACTGAGTGCCAGTCTCAACTTGAAGGCCACCGGTTGAAAAATAACTCAAGCTATTGTTAGGACTTTCAATTACAAACCACAATTGCAATTGTAGGGTTGTACATGTCACACTCTCCCAGAGACCATAGAGCTACATGTACATGTGCATGTATAGACCAAGCATAACCACAGACGTTGAACAAATTAAAGGATGACCACTGCAAATGAGATGAGGAGAAACTTTTGTTCTCTTTGTGCTCTGTCCTGAGTGTCTTTTGGGGTACAGCAAACTGTGTGAAAAATACGGACACACATGTACATGTATGTGTAAATATTTTACAACTTCAGACCTTTGCCTTGCAGTTTTTGTGCACTTTTTCATGCCCAAGGTTCCGTACTTGCAAGCACGGATCAGACTTAATGGCTCTTCATGTAAGTAAGAGAATGATCCTTTACAAAACCAAGCAATGATCACCCCTGGACACACCCATGTGCACATTCCTGTCCCTGTGCAGTGTGTCTTGCAGAGAACACTGTAAGATATCCTGGGCGTTGGCAGCATAATGCTAGTTGGTTTCCAGGTATCACAGCCCGTGTTGTCTTCACCCCTTGGGAAAACGACACCCTCAGTATTTTACTGATTGGGAGTTCAAAACACTATGCATGGACCACAGACAACAGAAATTTTAAGCATTGTTAACCTGTGTTGTTATCAGCTGAGAGTACAGTCTATATACAAACTAGACTTTGTAGCTACATGTAGGACATGTATAATCTCTTCTCATCACTGATTATGCATTTGTAATGTCCTGGTAAACACCTTCAGCTGTATTTGATATTTGATAAAATTGCTTAGCTACAAGTGTTGTCTTGTTAAGCTATGGTTTCTAATAAATGAATTGTTATGGTTTCCCCCCTCAAAATACATGTGTATTTTGGAGGATAAATAGGCACAGCCCCGTCTTCCCCAGTGCTGTTGGCTTGAGTCAGATTTGATTCAACTTGGACTTGATTTTTCTTTTTTTTTCATTTGACATGGGAAGTGATCGTTTGCAGCTTGCTTAACCTGTCATGAACAGGATTGATTTGTTGACATGACCAAGTTTTGTTGAAAGGAACGGTGCATCTTGTGCATCAGTGCTCAGTGCTGTACTCCAATCTATCAGAAGTTCAAAGTCTTGTCTACAGTTCCTTTCCAGGTCATTTATAAGTAATAGGGTTAGCTATGACAAAGAATGCTTTTGCCAAAGTTCTTTCAATTAGCTTATAACTTTGCCTGTGACTTTGCTTAAGACTGACTGACTGGTTACCGACTTCCAGGGACTCCTGATGGACTGAACAACATGTGCAATGGTCTTTGCCCCTAAAATCCTGATTTTTTCTGTGCAAAAATACCAGTATTCCTGTATATTTATGTATTTATTACATATTGTGATGAAGAAATAAGGCAAGACAGGTAGATCTGCTTTGGTCATATCATCAGTGGGGGACATCTGAGATACAAGGAGAGCCATATCACAAGTTAGGTTACAGGTATTGACATACACGTAAAAAGGGACCAGTGGTGGCACAGCATGGGTTTTGTCACACTTTAAAGAGACTGTGCTTTTACTGAACACATTTTTTGGTCATTTTTTTCTTTAGTTCGTCATATCGATGACGAAGGCAATTTAAGGGGGGAAGTTCGGATTGGACAGCCACCAGCCTCAGTGCCTCACCTGAAACAGACTCCTCAGGACTTTGGCGGCATGTATGAAGTCACAGCGCCACAGCCACAGCAAGATTACGGCAGAGAATATGAAGTGACAGATGTGCAGCAAGATCACGGCGGAGAATATGCAGTGGCAGATGTGCAACAAGATTATGGTGGGGACTATGAAGTGACGGATATTACCTCTCAGGGATCCTTGCAGCGTGATTACGGTATGTCCTATGAACAAGTTAGGGCCCCCCCTTCTGTGCCCCAAGTACAAGCAGGGGATTGGGGTGAGGAATACGAGCAGGTTGAGGTTCCCTCTCAGGTGCCAGACTATGGTGACAGCTACGAGGTCATGCAGCTCCCCAAACAACACAGAGAAGACATTAGCCAGCGGAAACCGATGCCCCTCCCAAATGCCCCAATCCCTCCTCCCACAAAGCAGAAACCCTCCAAGACACAGGTCTATGAGGATGCCAACAAGCCAACCCCACTCTGGACAGACACCAATGTTGCTAACCCAGCCAATAGTGGCCAGAATCTCAAGCCCACCTTCCGTTCCCCACCGGCTCTCCCGAAGAAATTTCCAATCGTCAAAAAGAAGGAGGATTTCTACGACCAGGCACTGCAGCTGGACACCGGTGAAGGCAAGGCAGAACTGACCCTGGCGACAGATGATGACAATTTCTATCAAAACAACCCCAGTGTAAGCCGTTACAGAAATGTATCTCCCAAACAGGCCAGTAGCAGTGCACCTGCAAAGTCAGGCAGCTACATTACAATCCAGAAACCCTAAAGGCAAGAGGTATCCACCCCAAGTTGAAGCACTGCTTCACAGACAAAAGGAAAGACAACTTGGTGGGAAGTTTTCCGACCAAGCTTTCCCACTCCCAAAGACTGTACATTCAAAAAGAAAGTGGATGTGCATGCTCATTGCAATCTTTGAACAACTCTGTATAAACTTCCCCTGCAAACTTTCACATGCAAGCATTGAATTCCTACAAAAGGACTGTTTTTGTATAAAATACGCCCTCTTTTGTTTCCGCTCAACAATAGATAGTCATCCTTTAAATCATCAGTCACGTCATAAACTGACCTACTGGTATCTGTGGATAGTTGATGTAACACGAACCACTGTATCGTGTAGAAAATCTGTGGATGGTACGTCACTTATTAGTGGTGCACAGAACTTAATGTATGGTATGTCACTTTGTGGTGTAGCTGATGAAATGTATACAATTTTAATGACGAGTGTGGCATATTTAACACCCAAGAAAAACTGTACTTCCTGGAGGTTTTACAAAGACCACACACAAAAATTGATTAGATTGTCCTCATAGTGTAACCCTTAATCAACTGTCACTGTCAGACGTAGATTTCTATGACAACAGATGTTGTAAAGATGACCTATGCACACTGCACCTTATATTTTGCAGAGATGCATTAGGGTGACATACTTGTAACTGATATACATGTGCATTTTTTGTGACAGGTTTGGCATGTGACCATTCTAGAGCAGCATAATTCTGGCATCCATGACAAAATGCAGCTTTTTAATACATGTATCAGTCATTACCTGATGGGGTTTACACCCCCCCATGGCCCAACTTTTTGACTGTGAGGGTGGGGGATGACCCATTTAATTAACCCCTCCCACATTTTGGTGGTGAGAAACAAAAATCCTCAGTTGAAATAAAATTATAAGCCTGTTTGACAAAAGAATTAGGAATGTATTTCTCAAATATGTGCCCCCTTGTGTAATCGTTGTTCACCATCCCTCCCTCCTCATGCCAGATTTATGCTACTGTCACTGGTCAGGTACCATGTGAACTATGTGAAAGGAAAAATTAACATGCTTTCTGTCATGGTGGCCAGAGGTCACAACCAATTCCCAAGGACTTAAGTCAACTTCCCAGTTGTACATTTAAAATTCACATAATGTTATGCCACATGAATTTCCTAAGGTGGGTAGAATCATGTGCATTTCCATGCTGAAATAAATTTTAACATTGCATGTAAAAAAGTGGTTCTGTTGTAAATTGTTCAAAATAGACATGCATATAACTTTCGAAATTTGAAATTTTTGAAATTGGAATGTTTGAAATTGCAAATATTGTGTATTTTTTCTAAAAAAGAATGCTTTCAAAAAGATGTTTTGTACTAGTATTTTAATATCTTCTGTTTGAGATTATGTGTAAACAAGCTATTAACCGTGTACATTTAATTAACGAGGATGTCATTGCATTTCAAATGGAAATACATGTAGTTTTATTATACCAATATTTTTTCACCAAATTTTTTGTTTTTGCTGCAAGAGAAATTTATTATAAATGTGAAACTACTTGCAGAAACTAATGCATATCTGTTGTACTTGGTTTTACCTTTTGTAAGAGCAGCTTGTGTAAAGGATCTCTGTATTATCAAGTGTATGAAAATTATTATTTGGTCATGTTGTAAGCAGCCTTCTATTTCATCCTGACAGAGGATCTAAAAAGTGAAGAAATCTGGAAGGCTAAGAATAAATTTGTCTGAAAATGAAGGGATGAAACTTGAGAAATGTTGGGAAATATGTGTATACAAACAAATCTTAGAAAACGTTTGGACAGTTTGTGACTGCATACATGTGTTATTTTAACTGTGACAGAATTTTTAGAAAGCCATCTTGCCTCCAACCCCTCCTCAAAAAACTAGAAATGGTTTTTCTATGTGACCTGTTTCCTAGCTTAGGTGTGCAGGATGTATTGTATGTATATTGAACAGTTCTGTCACATATTACACAGCAGAATACACAAAATGTATGAAGCAATTAAATGTGTGCCACATCAAAAGTGCCCAAAGAGGTACTGTACACATTGTGGTGAATATACACAGAGTTGCTTTTGGGAAGTTAGATTAATATTGTTACACATGAGATTGACATTTGAAAAATACTTCCTTGTTTGATAAGTTGGTGTCTTGTAGATCTTGTTTCTGTTTAAAAGAAATGCACTGTTCTGTGAAAATGCAACTATATGTACACTTCCTTTGCAGTATACTTTTTGGAGCCGATGTGCTTTCACTTTAAAGGTGAAATTTACCTTCAGGTGAAAACTTTCCCAAGGTGAAATGTCAGGCTTGATTGTAGGTTGATTTAAAGAATATCAGTACTGTAGTATTGCTAATTAGGATGGTTATAAAAGCTACTTAAGAATTAAGTAAATCTTCTAATGCAGCTGTCTGTTAATATTCTTTGGTTTGCGGTCATAGTATCATTTTCTGTTTGGGGGTCTTTTATGCAAATTTCAGTTCAAATATTCTTGAGCAAATGAGTGATGTTATTTCAGTTACAGAAGACTCAGTGTCATGTGAGTGGCTCGCCCCCCAAAAATGCCAGAAATTTTGACTTTTTTCAGCTGAGGACATTTTTGTGTTCGGTACTTTCTTGTCTGATTAGCATGACAGCCAATCAGAAAGAGGTACATTAGCTGTACAAAAACAAAACAAAAAAAGAATCGAGGAGTGCTTCAAATAGCATGCATTCAGTGATGTTTGTTGGGGATTGAGTGCATCAATTGACAGAACCAAAATGGTGGATTATGCATCAGTACAAACATTTAGCGCACAATAGATGCATGCTGTACTGCACACATAATGATCGAATAGCCATTTTGGTTCCAAAGTCTGAAGTTACACTACGTTGAATAATGTAAGAGTTACAATGAATATTCGTGCAATATTTGCATGCTACTTGTGGAACGTTATTGAGAGACAGTCTCTCTTGATCTGTATTTCTTATAGGTTTCCTTTGTAAATATTATCAAGTGATAGATTCTCAATATGTACACACTTTGATGATGGGGGATCTCATTTTGCCTTAGGTCTCTGACTTATAATACATGTAGTAATACATCCTGATGTAATACATCCTGCAGCTGTTTAAACTCTAAGCATGTGTTTTACAGACTTTTACTCAGTGCGCTTCTATGCAAACCATTGAACAAAAGTAGTAGAAAAATAAAGTATGACAGTCACCTTATGACAAGTTATGTGCTTGCGTGATTAACGTTTATTAATAACCACAGTCCAGTACTATACTGTCGGGCAATAGTTACTTTGTCACCACAATGTTGAGACTGCAAATTTACTGAGGCTTTGGTATTGGAACATGGGGATTATACTTCCCATAATATGATTTTACATATGTAAATACAACCAGTTGTGGCTAGTTGTGGTGCGTGCGTTCCAGCTGTTCGGCTTGTGAGTGCCCTCTCGCGTTTAAATAACACAACAACGTCTTGACCAAAGATTGTATTGCGCCGCGAAGCGGCACAAGATGGCGAACTTCACAGTTTATATCTAGGGGTGCACCCTGGTAATTAGGCCAGAAA